AAGATTACTTATAGATAGTAACATTTAAGAAATCTTATTTCAATGAAATATGATGTAAAATTAAACAGTGTTTTTAACTCACCACCTGCGGCAAAGTGAATAGCATCAGACAGCGCTTTCTGCCAATTTTATCCAATACGTATCCGCAGAATGGTATAACTATCATCGGACTGGCAGATGATAAACTGCCCATCATCGAAATCTCAGTTTCTGTCATTACTCTATCAAGAGTTGTGTTTTCTGAACTGAACAGAACAAACGTAGAAGATGGCAGAGTGAAGAGAATGCCCATTGAAACATAATTGTAGCATACTGGAAAAATAAATTATATCATTGCATTATAATGATAATCTTTTTGTATTTTGGTGCAAATTAAAATGGATTAGAGATTAAGATTGTGTCAGAAATAATAATTCATTTAATACAAAGGCTTACAATGTCAGCTGCATACAAGTCATAATTTGATAAATTAAAAAAGATATTTATGTGTATCATTTTTAAATATTAAAATATTTTATGAGTCACGATTCAGAATATTTTTATTATGTTACGTATTAATATGTCAGGACTAGTTTAATTCATTTTATCATCAAGAATTGCACTAATTTTATTATAGTTCGTCAATTTGTATTAGTTTGCTTTTTTCTTTTGATGGAAGTCTGATTTGGATTGATAAGTGACTCATTGTTGTTTTGCTGTAAGAGGATATTGTTGTGTTTACAGAACCTTCGGTAGTCTCAATATGGTCAACATTGTAAGATGCCGTTCGCTTAAGTCATGACAGGTCTATTTTAGGTCTATTTTTAGGTCTATTTTTTTTATTTAAAAATTTCAAATGTCCTCCCAGTCAACATTTCCCGTCCTTTAAATTCTGAATTTTTGCTGTCGTTGGTCCCTTTAGTAAATTTATATGTAAAAATATAATAATCATTAGAATTAAGTTGTAATAAATTGTTTTCAGTACATAACATTAGTCCTATTTTCATATTTTTTATACAGTATCTCCTATTTTTAATTGAATTTGTGTTGTTTTAGATCTACTTACAAAGTTCCTAATTGTGATTTCAGTTGAGGCTGTTACATTGTATTTCATTCAAGAGTTAATTTCGGATCGTGTAACCATTCTACTTTTATTTAAAAAGAGGCAGTTGGTGTATTTATAGTCATACCTCGAATGTCGATTTTACAAATTATCAAGAAGTAAATATTTAAGTAGAAGTCTGAAAGTGAGAGATAGTACGATACAGAATTGTATGTTTCTTATAACGCATTCTCTCATTATAGTATTATTGAAATTAAACTTTGAGTATGAAAAATAATGACAAGTATATCTTTATTCTATACCTACTTATAATTCTTTGAATAGTTTTAAAGTAGACATGGTATTTTATATTTCTATTTGTACTCGTAGGTAATAAATTAACTTATTTGAAACAAAAATATTAAAACAAGCTACACATTTTAAAATGTTATGAAAAATAAATAAAAGACCCTGTTTTTCATTCATGTCCAATGTTATCGGGAACCTAATTAGATTTAGTTCGGTTTCCCGCGAATCTAATAGTCAATGCAGTTTTCATATACAGTCACTGTAAAGCAACGTCAATTATTAACGCATTTCACGCCTTGTTTTTGCATGTATAATTGTACATCTACGGGCTCCGAAACGAATACAAAACTTACGATGAATATTGACTAATTGAGATCAATTAATGTTTTGTTTTAATAGAAAACTCTATATTATTAGAATATGTTGGATTAAGAAATATCATTAACAATTTATCAGTCAGTATTTTCAGTTTTCTTCAATTGATTGTTTTATTTTTCTTCATAAAATCTCACTTTTACGTTTTTTCATAAAACGAATGTACACTGTTTTATTACAGATTCAATCCACCTAATACCAATATTTTTAAAATTTATCATTACAGCTTTCTCTGATATGTTAGTAATAAATCCACAACTGCCATATTCGCTTATGAATATTAATTAAGATAAAAAACTATACTTACTTATAGCTGTTGCTAAAATCTGCTGAACAATAGCCATAATTTTTATAATAAAAATATATATTACAACGCGACTGTTTTGCGTGTTGTCACAAGTTAAACTGCAGAAAGAAGAGTTAAAATAAAAACATATGATAATGAAATTGACCATATTCGAATAAGTCACACTGAGACAGTTACCATGAACAAGCGAATTTTATGTCAAACGTAGATTGTCACCGAACTTGCATTAATGTTTTAGTGTTTTATTAAAAAAAAATTGATGACCCGATAATAAATTGACAAACTCAACGACAATTAATTTGAAACGTTAATTTATATTTATTGTGACAGTATTTTTCATTTATAACAAATATTGTCTTCTTCTAATAGAGGAATCAATTGATATCACCGACAGTTCCGGGGAAACCGGGGAAAGTGATGCCGTAATGTCCCATTATGGTAAGGAGGGTAACAATGGTTGTTTTAGTTTGTAAATTGGCAGACGTGCGAAGTGAAGCCTACCGAGAGCCCTAAAAAAAACCTTAAGTCATCAGGTCTATCCAAGAGGGGTATGCAGCAATGAATTCCCAACGTTAAAGAAACGTTAACAGCTGAAGTCATGTTCAAAATAATTATTGACCCAATTAATTTTTAAAAAAAGTTTTAAAAAAAATGATAATAAATCAATAAATAAACCTTCATCGTTGAATCGTTACGTATTTAATGACTATTTTTTAAATATTAAAAAAAATAAAACTCATTTTATAAATATTATAATTAACCATCTTTTCCTTTGTTCTTCTTTGTCAACAATCGATCAAGTTACCAAATGTAATCCATGGCCCACTTGCTTTTTAAGCCTTCCTTTTGTTTAAAATAATTGTTTCCATTCAAGTACATTATTATGTAGGTAAAATTCACTTAATCTTCTTTTAGAAATACATTTAAAATAATCCCCTTTACCTTGAACAGGTTTTGCGGGCCCTATTGCTTTGTATGTAATTTAAATATTCAATTATTTAAGCGTTCAAAATTTTCACTAAAAATATGATTACATAAAACTATTTTATGGCATTTTATTAACTTTACTAAAAATCTTTTCTTATTTTAAACATATAAATTTCCTTTTATGTTTAAATATTTACAAATCTGTCGATATAACGGAGATGCTACCTATGTACCTTCGCTCTCACATACAATCTGTCCTACACATACTGTTTATCAATAAATAAGGCTTCGATAAACAATAATATGATAAATTGCGACATGAACGTATGTTTTAGTGCAAAAAGCGTATACTTAAAACTACGTGGAACTGTGCAAATCAATATGAACTATGTGTAGCTACAAAAACAGAAGCAGTATAACGAGGCAATTGCTTCGAATCGAAAATATTTGTTATCTTAATGTTCTCGTTACAACAAATTAATTATCAATTTAATTAACATTTTGTTTGACATATAATTCCTATCAAAAAGAAAACTACATATAAAAGTGAATAAAATATGTGTAATGGTGGAATAAATTCAGTAACTAAATAATACATTAATGATTTTTTTTGCACATCACTAGTTTTCATGAATTGAGAGCAAATGAGACAAGCTATAATGTAGTTTGAGTACAAAACAGTTATTCTCTAACTAAATGAAAAACGATAAATTTGGTTAAGGAATTTAAACAAAAATTTTATACTTTATGATTGATATGATATCACAGAACACATTTATACAATATTTATTTGACTAATGAAAACACGTCTTTATCACATTTTACTAAATTCTTTATGTGTGTTGCAATTATTGTATAATAGAACTTCGCTCTTTTAAAATGCAAATAAAGACCAAAAATATTACTAGTCAGAGTGAAGTGTATAAAATGTGTTAAAAACTATTATACATACGATAATTACTCGTAATGTAATTATGTAACGTATGTGTGTCACGTGACTATTATGACTAAATCCTTTCGTAAGTACATAAAATTTTTGGGATAAATTGTAATTCAGGTCCTATTTAGGTATCAAAGCTATATTGCTGTAAAATTTAATTCAAATCCTTCAAGTTTTTTAGTGAAGAAGCACTGACATCTACACGTCCATACATGTAAACATATGTATACTCTCTCCAACTTTATAATATATTTATGTTATTAGAGAAAACAAAACAATCAATTTCTCATACTGAAGCAAAATTTACAAGGAAATTTGTAGTTGCTGTATTTAATAGTGACATCATATTTAAAGTCATGATAATACAACATTTTCAATGTAAATTTTATTTATTTTCTCAATTATTTTAATAATAAATACAAGGTGTACAATATTATTTTCAGAAACATTTTAATATAATTCGAGACACAGAATAAATTAACAGACGCCATATTTATCATTAAAGGATTGATTATTATCATCCGGTCACAAAACAAAAAATCAAATTAATTTGAATATACATTCAAAAACATTTATTTTATGAGCAACCATTTTTTTCTAATTTAACTTTAAAGTACAATGGCACATGCCATTCATGCAATTACGAAAATAAAAAATCTGAAGTAAAATTTACAGACGCCAAAATTATTACACCTTCAAAACATCTGTTCATTTGATTAAAATAGAAAAGCAAATTCTTGACCAATTTCATTTAAATAAATAATAAATATTAATAATATATATTAAGTAATTTGTAATATGTATATGTGTAATATAATGTTATGGCTTATATATATATTATGGCTTCATTTAACCAACATTTTTTCTAAACAATTAATTATCACGCATAGATGTTGCATCCACAAAGGTCAGCCAGTAAATATATTTTTATCCAGACTTTCTATATTCTTAGTAAATTCTCGTACAAGTTTTTCTCGTTCGTGTTAAAGAAATTTATATGAGAATCGTGTTATATTTTTGTACCTACATATATTAAAGATTCATAACCGGAACTGGATTCAAATATTGTATTGTGTAACGCTGAGTAGACGCTGCGAGGGTAAGACCCTGTTTGTTTTTAGATATAAGCAAGTTGGACGACCAGTTGGACGATCAGTTGCACGATCAGTTGGTCAACCAGTTGGACGATCAGTTGGTCGATCAGTTGGTCGATCAGTTGGACGATCAGTTGGTCGACCAGTTGGACGATCAGTTGGTCGATCAGTTGGTCGATCAGTTGGTCGACCAGTTGGACGATCAGTTGGACGATCAGTTGGTCGACCAGTTGGACGATCAGTTGGTCGATCAGTTGGACGATCAGTTGGACGATCAGTTGGACGATCAGTTGGTCGACCAGTTGGACGATCAGTTGGACGACCAGTTGGACGATCAGTTGGTCGATCAGTTGGTCGACCAGTTGGACGATCAGTTGGTCGACCAGTTGGACGATCAGTTGGTCGATCAGTTGGTCAACCAGTTGGACGATCAGTTGGTCGACCAGTTGGACGATTAGTTGGTCGATCAGTTGGACGATCAGTTGGACGATCAGTTGGTCGATCAGTTGGACGATCAGTTGGACGATCAGTTGGACGATCAGTTGGACGATCAGTTGGACGATCAGTTGGACGATCAGTTGGACGATCAGTTGGACGATCAGTTGGACGATCAGTTGGTCGATCAGTTGGACGATCAGTTGGTCGATCAGTTGGACGATCAGTTGGACGACAGTTAAAAGTAAAAAATCTTGTCAAAGACCAGGTATTATATTATAATTTTATAGCAATATACGATGATGCTTAGAGTAACTGTAAATTTGGTAACATCATAGCTTTATCATCCATGGAATTTGTTACATATTATAGACGGTAAAGTAAACGTTAACCATTAATTGTCCTACAAATAATGAATAGATGTGTCATAGTTCTCTGATCAGAAGACATCCAAGTCCATTTTAACTAAACTATTACTTGAAAAAAGAGTATACAATACTCTTGCACATAATGTATCATTTGTCATCCTCTAGGGCTTCTTTGGTCAACCACAAACTTACCAAGATATTTAACTTCTTTATCAATATGTGACATTATTATCAATCAAAAGTATTATAATATAGTATCAACAATTTATTTAGCATTTAAAGGGTAATATTTAAGAGTAAGTTTTTAAATTTCAACTTATATAAAGAAACATATTTCTCAAATACAAACATTTAATATTTATAAATGATTATTGGTAAGATATACTATTTTCACATTTGTTCTTAAACTATTTACAAGTATTTATTATACAATAGTATAATATGTAGTGTTTGTTTGTATCTAAGGTATCGTTAACATACATACGGTCTTAATTTATTCTTTCAAATTCCTTAAGATAGTTTAAAATTAAAATAGATAAAATCACAACTAATAATTTGGATTAAAAAATTGATCAAGACGAAAGAAGTCAAATAGCTCATTTGCATGGTATATACGGGGACTCGTTGAAACAATGTTTTATAAACTCAAAATTACCTTATAACTTTATGATTTAAGTCCTTTAAGAATTAATTTTAGACATAAATATACACATAAGTTCGAACGCAAACTATTATTTTAAGAACTTAGACTGAAATGTAAGTAAAAACATTTTTTAATTAAATTTTTATTAATTGTAACTCCTGATCTCGCTTAACTGATTTTTTTATCTTCTGTATAACTTTGGTTGGCCACTTGGTACAAAAAATTAATTTGTACTTCAAGATGAATTGTACTTAATAACAATTTGTTAACTTATATTTTATGTTCACGACTCATTACGCTAATAGTTATTGACCAGTTAAAACATTCATAAGTTTGACAGTTGATCGTCATACTTTGCAGTTTTTTCAATATACGTTACTAATTCTATATCAAGCAAGAAGAACGCTTTTTCAATCAAGAAAATTTCTTAGACTCAGATCGAGTGTAAGTTAATTTTATTTTTAAGATTATTATTAATTTTTTTCACTGGATAATTATTTTTTTCTCAAAAATTTTCTTTGTATTTCATCCACTTGTAGTCCTTTTGTTGCCGGTATAAATAAGTAACTGAATAATCCGGTAATGATACCGAAACTGGCAAAGATATAGAACATTGCTCCAAGACCTGTAAAGAACAAAATTAAATCTCAGAATAATTTGCAAAATAAAATAACATAAAATCTGGACCATAAATTGTATGGTGCAGAAAAATAATAGTTTAAAAACATTTGAAGATTTTTTTCTTCTGTATAATATACCCTATACCCTATATGGGAATAAAATATGCTTTGGTACTAATATTTACACTCAGAAGATAATAATAAATACCCAGAAGTAGTTCTTGTTCTATATGGCAATTTCACAGCTATAGCCAGGGTATGCCTTACATGTTTTGAATACTTTTGGCTAATTGTTTTTACGACCGACCGCCTGCCTGACATCAACCCTCTTTTTGGGAATGAGCATTAATCAGTTATATCTAAATACTCTTAAAAAGTATTTATGACTCGGAAAAATCACATTGGTACTTGCCCGGGCCAGGATCGAACCCGCGCCCTCGTGCATGAGAGGCGGGCCTTGTTAACCACTAGGCCACTACTGACTATTATACTCAGAAGTAGTTATAACGGTTAAATAAATGTAATAATATTTTTGTTTTACCTAAACAATTAACGAGTGGAATAAAGATGTAAAGTACGATGAAGCTGCATAGAAAACTCCACTCTATACAAATCATTGATGCGAAGCTCTTAATCTAAAAAAAGAATAATATTTAGAATATATATTGTTTTTTGACATAAAAAATATGTTAGATTATTAATTTAATGACGAGTAGTCTGAACTTTATAAGTTACTCATAAAAGTTAGTTCACAAGATTAAGGGTCAAAAGTGTGTGTTTGACAATAGTGTGTATTTGGGTATAAGTGTCTAAGTATATAAGGAAGAAATTAATCTTACCTCTGGCAAGAAAACCTCACCGATCAATACGAAAGGTACTGTCCCAGCTCCGACAAAATAACCAAAAGTATAGAGAAGCATCAGTACTAAATTCAACCAGATGGGCCCCCAATTATACTGCAACTGGGTACCAAGAATCACACAACATAGACTTGTTCCTATGGAGGCTAGGATGAGTAAAAGCTAAAAAATTAATAATAATATTAGAGAACGTGTATTATTTGTGTGAATTCAGTATTATTTTAATTTTTCTTACTGTTCGGCCTATGGTGTCAACGAAATATGCTCCAAAACCTCCGGCTATTACAGATACAATTCCAAACAACACGCTGGCTAGTGTTATCGATACATTTGGGAGCAATATTTCAAATAATTGCTTGGTGTACATACGAAATACCGATAATCCTTGAAAGCTACATGTTGTACAAGTAATTATTACGATAACCAGTGCCCGACGAGATGATCGTGATTTAGCTGAAATTAAATAAAAGGAATACTTATTAACAGGTTTGCATACAAAACTTAAAATTTGACCTAAAAACCAAATGCTATTAGATTGAAAACAAAAGAAAAATACAGAATTGAAGCACTTAATCTTAAGAACTGATACGATTAGATTGCGCGACCGATTATAACCAAACATGGGTAAAATAAAAAATCTGACTTTCAAATAAATAAAGTAGTAAAGAAAATGGTCCGTCTATTTACGAGCTACTATGCTTCAGACACACCCGCACACACACCCTCGCAAACACGAAAGTACGTTTCACTCACTCACTCACACACCCTCTCTTTGGTTGAGAGACTAAAAATTTTATTTAAATAGGGAATACGAATTCCCATTCCTAAAATTACTATAAAAAATTTTTTAGGCAATTATAGAAGTAACTAAGCTTATAACTAAATCGTGAAGAAATTTAGGTTTTAAGTCCTATGCAAAATTTTTAGATTTAAATATTGATATGACTAAAATATTTTATCTATATGCACTTTATCAAAAATTAAGTATAATACACGAAATAGGATATATCATGGGAATAACATCCTTTAAGTGGTTGAAAATTGATTATATACATATATGTATCAAATATATACGTACCCAAATATCTCCATTTGTCAATTTTCTCACTTGGCCCATCCAATGTTTTTAATTTCATTTCTTCCGGCATTGCTTCAACTATAACAGATAGTTATATTAATGGTCTGTAATAATATGTGCTAAATAGATATAGCCTAACCAAAATTTCTCACATATACCATAAAAAGTTATATTAATAATTAAAATTTGATAATTATAGCTTTCTTTTTTGGTTTTCAAACTTCAATATTATTTTTCTAACAAAGTTTAAAAAAATAATAATTCCAGCGCTTTGTAATATTTATTTATTTTTTAAGGAACATCTATATGATAAAAACCTTACTTGTATCGATATCGATGTTTATAATTCTCCTCAGGTTTTCAATTTCCTCTACTACCTCTTTAGATTTCGGACTGCAACTTCTATAAAATCCAATTGCACTGGCCGCCTCCTTTATAAAAAGATAATTGTAAATTTTTACACTAAAGTAAAAACAACGATAACATGATTTAAATTATTCAAAAACTAATGAGATCTAAGATTTTCGCGAGTACTCATTTAAATGAAACTTATAATTTCGGAATTACTACGCGATTTTTTAGTTTTGACTATACTACATACTCCCGACGTTTCGGTTACTTTACAGCAATCATGATCACGATCAGACAAGCTATGAGTATCTGTCAGTCGGTCTTGTTATTTAATCACCTACCGCCATCGATTTCTTAATTTTGTTTTTTACCTAAAATTCAAAACATTACGATATAAATTCAAAAATAATCTTACCTCTTCCAGACCTTTCTTCATTAAATATAAAGGTGACTCCTTCATGAACGTCATAAGTAACAAGCCTATGGCACTTGTTGTTAGTCCAAGGTAATTTATAGTTACATAATCCAAGACTCCCCCACATATATATGACATCGTCATTCCTATAGCGTAAAATATCAAGGAGGAAGCTACCATAGATCCTCTTATAGATTCTTGACAATATTCAGTGACGTAGACCGGAACGATGAGAAAAATTGCACCACTCAGACCACAAAGAAACATCGAAAATATTAACGCTGCCACTTTATGGACACTTATGAGTAAGAGCCAACTGAACTGAAAATGAAAATATTAATAGCTAGAGTTTCTTAAATATCATTTTAATAAACATTAATTAATCGAACCTCCTGTTAAAAAATATGGCCTTCTTTTGTGTGTGTATGTATATAGAAAAGATTTTTAAAATAAAAAAATGTTTTTGATTTCATTTGAAATAATAAAATAAATAAAAATGGAAACATCTGATAGCAGTTTTTATTGTAAAAAAACAATAACTCAATTTAGATAGATCAAATCTGATAACTTTGATAAGTTTTTATTATAAAATGGACTTCCATATCTAATTGTAGGCTTTGTACTTCTTCGTAATATTAAAATAACAAGAAATAAAAGTATTAAATTTATATGAATCAAAAAAACTTACCAACTGTGGCAAATAGAATAGTATTAAACACCTTTTTCTGCCTAAATTATCCAAAAGGAATCCACAAAACGGTATAACAATTAGGGGACTTGCAGACGACATACTACCTATTAAGGATATTTCAGTTCCATTCAATATATGATCAAATATCTTATTTTCCGAACTGAAAAGTTTAAGTGTAAACGATGGCAGGGTAAACAAAAAACCCAGAGTCAGGAA